TATATATATATATATATATATATATATATATATATATATATATAATGGCAATAACATTGCTATGATCTTGTTGATGGGAAGCTTCCAACCGGAATGGAAATCATCTATGGGACAGATGGCAAGCTATTTAACCTCAGCAGACTGAAAGCCAAAACCAAGGTTACAACATCATCTGTTATAGAACTCCAGTTTGCTGATGACAAGATCGTCTGTGCACATTCAGAAGAAGACCTACAAGCCACTCTAAACACCTTCGCAGAAGCATACGAGAAGCTCGGCCTGTCATTGAACATTGAGAAAACCAAAGTGGTGTTCAAGCAATCACCAGCCAACTCTTCTCCAATGCCAGAGATACAGCTTAATGGTGTAACATTAGAAAATGTTGATTGTTTCCACTCCCTTGGCAACCACTTCTCCACCAAAGTCAACATTGACACTGAAATTCAACACCGCCTGAGCTCTGCGAGTGCAGCATTTTTCTGAATGAAGCAGAGAGTGTTTGAGGACTGGGACATCCGTAGGGAGACCAAGGTACTTTTTTATAATGCTATTGTCCTCCCAACCTTGCTATACGCCTGTGAGACGTGGACTGTCTACAGATGTCACATGCAACTCCTGGAACGATTCCATCAGCGCTGCCTCCGGAAAATCCTGCAAATCTCTTGGGAAGACAGGCGGACAAACAGCGTGCTGGAAGAAGCAAAGACCAGCAGCATTGAAGCAAGGGTCCTCCACCATCAACTCCGCTGGACCGGCCACGTTGTCTGGATGCCCAACTACCATCTCCCAAAGCAGTTGCTCTACTCCGAACTCAAGAACGGAAAACGAAATGTTGGTGGACAGGAAAAGAGATTGAAAGATGGGCTCAAAGTCAACCTTAAAAACTCTGGCATAGACACTGAGAACTGGGAAGCCCTGGCCCTTGAGCACTCCAGCTGGAGGTCAGCTGTGACCAGCAGTGCTGCAGAATTTGAAGAGGCACAAATGGAGGATGAAAGAGAGAAAGGTGCCAAGAGGAAGGCATGTCAAGCCAACCCCAACCGGGACCGCCTTCCACTGGAAACCGATGCCCTCACTGTGGGAGACAATGCAGATCAAAAATAGGGTTCCACAGTCACCCACGGACCCACCACCAGAACACCAACCAGTTTCTCATGTTGTGGTGACCCCCAAACATAACATTATTTTTGTTGCTCCTTCATAGCTGACATTTTGCTACTGTTGGGAATCGTAATGTCAATATCTGATATACAGGATGTATGTTCATTCACTGGACCAAATTGGGCACAAATACCCAATACGCCCACATTTGAATACTGGTAGGGTTGGGAGGAGGCTTGATTGTGTCATTTGGGAGTTGGAGTTGCTGGGATTTATAGTTCTGAACTTCACCAGCGATTGATTTAAATCGAACTTGGCACAACGAGCTCCCATGACCAACAGAAAACCCTGGAAGGGTTTTGTGGGCATTTACCTTGAGTTTGGGAGTTGTAGTTCACATATATCCAGAGGAGCACTGTGGACTCAAACAAGGATGGATCTGGACCAAACTTGGCACAAATACTCAAATATGCCCAAATGTGAACACTGGTAGAGTCTGGGGAAAATAGACCTTGACATTTGGGAGTGATAGTTGCTGGGATTTATAGTTCACCTACAATCAAAGAACATTCTGAACCCCACCAACGATAGAATTGTTGGCACACAGAACTCCCATGACCAACAAGGGTTTGGTGGACATTGATCTTGAGTTTGGAAGTTGTAGTTCCCCTACATCCAGAGAGCACTGTGGACTCAAACAATGATGGATCTGGATCAAACTTGTCACAAATACTCAATATGCCCAAATGTGAGCACTGGTGGAGTTTGGGGAAAATAGACCTTTTTTGGGAGTTGTAGCTGCTGGGATTTATAGTTCGCCTACACTCAAAGAGCATTCTGAACTCCATCAACAATGGAACTGAACCCAACTTGGCACACAGAACTCCCATTACCAACAAGGGTTTCGTGGGCATTGACCTTGAGTTTGGGAGTTGTAGCTCACCTACATTCAGAGAGCACTGTGGACTCAGACAATGATGGATCTGGACCAAACTTGGCAGGAATACTCAATATGCTCAAATGTGAACACTGGTGGAGTTTAGACCTTGACATTTGGAAGTTGTAGTTGCTGGGATTTATAGTTCACCTACAATCAAAGAGCAATTTGAAACCCACCAAGGATAGAATTGGGCCAAGCTTCCCACACAGAACCCCCATGGCCAACAGAAAATACTGTGTTTTGTGATGACCCCCAGGTTGTTCATGGGTTCTAATGGCCTTTAGAACCCGTGAACAAAAATGGTGTAATGTTGTGTATTTCAGCACAAGGTAGATCACAAGACAGGGGAAAAGCACAGTCATGCAACGCAATCAATACATGAATACAAAACATGGTTTTCTCTGAGTTTCTTCGGAATCGGGGAGGAATAATTGAATCCAGACAAGACAGAGGTACTCCTGGTTAGTCGTAAGGCCGAACAGGGTATAGGGTTACAGCCTG